GCTGTAGAACATGAAGACGAGCCTTGTTAAATATAATTAGGAAGCGTTGCACTTGGTACTTGGTTATCCAATCTTTTTTGCATGAAATGTTCATATTCGTGCATTGGTTAGTTGTTATGAAACAAATTTATTTGTTTTTATTATTCTATCTCAGTGTAGTTTGAATTATAATTTTGCACACAAATCAACAACAAGCAAAAAATTATGACTTTTAAGTTTGGATTAATTTTTTCTCTCTTATATTTAGTTTAGGAATTATTGATTAAATTTGTTACGCTGTGAGGGGGGGGGTTATTTTTGGCAGGGGATATTTGGAACCCAGCTGATGAATAAAATTAAAAAAATATATAATATTATTAAAAAGTAAGTAATGAACTATGTATCTTTTTAGTAAATGGATGTGTTATTAAGACAATACTAAGCTCAGTAGTACCTATTTTATATTTTCTATATTCTTAGATACACAAAACTAATTTGACTTTAGCGAAGCAAGTTAAAACTTGTGATAAATGTTTGGCTGAAAATAACGTTGCCATCAATGATGTCTTAAAGCCAAACTACCCCCCTGGGAGCGTTCAAAGTCGGAACATTTCGGCCAAATACGCCCTAATTGAATAAGGCCGGAAGTAGTAAAACTCGACTTCACTTCTAATTGTTTAAGGGGAGATTGGTTAGGACCCGTATCCCAGGCTGTAACATTGTTTTAGAAGCGCACACAAACAGCATTTGTTGTCAAAATATTGTAAAGCATAACATATTATTCGTAATGAAAAGTAGGATTAATTAAGTAAAGAAAATTGCCCTGGGAAACCGTTTTTAGTTATAAACATAAAAGTTTGCCAATTTTTAATGTTGGTATGGTACGACCTGTCATAAAACAAGGATATTTTCATAAATTCTCATTGCAGGCTTATGCCAGATATGGTTGTAAAATGAAAAGGAGCATCTCACCAATAAATGTGTTCAATTATTAAAATAAACTATTCGGAACCCAAGATTCATGAATAAGTTTTAACTGTTAATAATGTATAAACACTTTGTGGCAATAAATAGTATAGTGGTAACAATAATAGTGGTAATAGTGGTAACAAATAAAAATGTCATTTTTTTAATTTTAATTAATCCATAAATAAATAGCTACAGCTATACTAAGAGCGTTCAATAATGGAGAATAAGTAAAAAATATTGCAGAGGATGAATAGTTCAAGCGTTTAATCACCCTATAAATTGTATTCAATAACAAAGAGTCTACAAAAAACTACTGCCAAAACTATATCGAGGTATAAGCAATCAAATATGTAGATTATTGGTACCAATAGAACTGAAATTTTTATCCTGAAAACTGGAATATCTGGGGAGTTAGTTAACAATGGAAATTTGATTGGTTTCAATATGTAACTTCTCTTCATGTAATATTATTAGATATTATTGATGAATATTAGCTCGTTTTACTACTTATAGGGGGAAAATGGCTTAATGATACATGCAAATTAGTAAATTAAAGCAAACAATCCGATAAATGAAAACTTATTTATCGTAATACGTTGTTTAATAGATTTGAATTGTTGTGTTTTTTATGCTACACAATAAATTATTCAACAATAGACAAGAGATAAAACTCTCATTGACTTGAATTGAAAAGAAAACGATCCAGAATGTAGATATAAATCAATTACAAAGGTAAAACCGCAAATACAACCTTTATGCCTTGAAGGTATGTTGATTTACGAATTATAACATATGTAACTTTAAAAGTATACATTTACACATCATTATTCACATTAAAATTATAAAAACATGAACATTTTTTCATATTAAAAAAAACTTGGATAATCCTGTAATCAATGCTAAAACTACAGTCGGATGCAGTCGATATCTAGTGGGTATAATGATTTGAAAAAAGACTTTGATTGAAAGGCATATCAAGCCCAAGGTCTGTGGGGCTCATAAGAAATAATGCGATATGAATAAAAGAAGAGGAAGAAATATCACTGGCCATTGTGTATAACGCGAATCCCAATGACGTCATACTTTATTCATATGTATTGCGGAGCCACATGATACAGAGTCGTGATGTACACGTACATGTGTGTAAGGATTGTGAATGGTTGTTTAATACATTACAGAGAAAAATATCACATTTAGTAGGAAAACGATTGATTTTTCGTTTTATATTATTAGTAAGTAGCCTTCCAAGTTCTTCAAGACTAACAGTGAATTAAGAACAAATGTTTATTTCAGTACCACTAATGACAGTAGAGGGTCAAAATTACGATTTATTTGTACAATACACTCAGCTTATACGTAATAGTAGTTACTCAACAAAATGAATCAATGGAAAAAGAAAAACTTTTTTTAGAATGAAAGCTAAGTCGATGTACAATAGTGTATGTCAAACTAAATTTAATGTAATATGCTTAAATGTTTCAGTAGCACTAGCGACTTAACTACTACACACTACTAATTATATTCAACTGTTACTTAGTTAGGACTACCGTTAATTTATTGCTGGTTAGCTGGGTGTTGTAGTGTTCACCTGAAAATCAACACCGGTTCGATCCTGAGAAAGAGTCAGTCGCCCTTTGGTGGTTCAAAACTGGACTCAGTTGTTTCTGATCATTGGGTTTTAAAAATAAACGGTATCAGCATTCTGACACATACTTTCTCCCATAAGTTTGTCAACAACCTTTATCATGTGTAAGCGGTGAGAGTAAATATACGGAAATGGGATTTGTAAGATTTTCTTCAGAATTTAAAGGACTATAACATACTAAATTTTTATCAAAATCGTTCGAGCCAGTATTGGGAAAATATGATTTTCCGTTATTTTATGGGGTTCTTATGGGGAAATAACATAATTTACAATAACTTTAGAACCGTAATTTTTACAGAGATGGGATTTGTACCATTTTGTTCAGAATATAAAGGACTATAACATACTAAATTTGTATCGAAATCGTTCAGGCCATTTTTGGGGAAATCATTTTTTTCCGTCATTTTATGGGGTTTTATGGGAAAATACCCATTAAAAATAAAAATTTCTAAGAAATGAGGAAAACTATCAAAATTGTAAGGATCATAACATACTCTGTTAAATCAAAACGGATTTTTTTGTCTAAAATCCTATTTTTCGTTATTTTATGGGATTTTTATGGGAAAATAACATAATTTACCATAACTTTTGAACCGTAATTTTTACAGAAATGGGATTTGTACCATTTTGTTCAGAATTTAAACGGCTACAACATACTACATTTTTATCAAAATCTTTCGGGCCATTTTTGAGAAAATCCGATTTTTCCGGTTTTTTATGGGTTTTTATGGGAAAATCCCCATTAAAAATCAAAATTTCAAAAAAATGAAAAAAACGCCTGGAGATACCATGGATTAGAACCTACATACCAAATTTCATCGAAATCGGACCACAGGTGTAGTCTCTAGCTCTGTACACATCCAGACACACAGACACACAGACACACACACACACACACACACACACACAGACATCACTTCGAAAACCACTTTTTTGGGTCCAGGGGCACCCAAAACGAATATATCCACTCAAAACTCAAACTCGAAAATTTTGACGAAAACAATACTTTCTCCATATACTATGGTATAGGGGGAGAAAGTAATAACAATCCTGACTGATGAAACAGCTGATCTTAATCAGTAACAAAGCTACTCAGATCATCTCCCAATATTCTACATTCATCCTTCACTCATTTGGTTTAACATACGCACCTAAGTGTCGTATCCCCTAATTGATAGTTGATATGAAAAAGTCAGCTGAGGCTGAATTGTGAATCATAAATATAAAGACAAAACTGATTACAAAAATAGAGATTTTATTAAATCCAAAGAAACTGTGGTATGAATAATATCATGAATTACACAATGAATCACAAACACTAACGATACGAAATGTCAGACCAGTTCCAAAACAGTAGCTAGTGAAATAACCATCATGATTCAGATGAGAAACAAAACTTAAGTGTCCGATAAAGTTTTTCGCACAAACAATACGACCTCCGGGACTATTCACCACAAGTTGGGACGTTTCGACCAAATACGTCCTAATTAAATGAAGCAGCAAACAGTAGAACTCTTCACTTTACTTCTAATTGTTTAAGGAGTGGTTTATAGAAAACCGCATTCTAACCTTAGTAGTTAACTGAATTAATTCAATTTTCTATAGATTAACAGAAACTTTCAGTTACATATTATTTTTGCGAGAATATTTTCAAAACACGTTTGATCGTATTTTAAAATTGTCATAGCATTTGTTTTACAGTACTAAAATTGATGGTTGAAGATTTTAAACTACGTTAATGAATAATTATATTCAGAAAGATATTTGTATTGTAAAATACATTTTTCTATAGTGTGACCCTGTGGGCTTCAGAATTTTTAACTTTAATCAACTGTAAATTTATCATGATATCGTTTTGAAAATATATGTTACTGTATAAATGACTATAAAACAAAACTATGGTCCATTAACTAAAACTTGACTAGTTGTAATTCAAATATATACGATCAAATAGTACTGTAATGTCATACAATTTATTCCAACGGGAGGGTTAAATTCTCAATACTGCGATGGCCGTTAATTGGGCCTGACAATAGTCGTTTAATACTAATGAATGCCAGGTGTTGGCTTTTTTATTAAAAATATCTACCCAGTTAGTTTTTGGGATGTAAAACTTGTAATATTGTGTTGTAGAAAACCCCATTTACCGGTGAAAATGCAAATTAATTCATAACTCTTAATAACTCTTAATACATTTATAACTAACCGTTAATTGACCGTTAATTGACATGAGCTCTAAGTATTTGTTTTCAATTGTATTGCAACTACGATACCAAAAAGCCCTTACAGCTAGCCACTTTATTTCGTTTCAGTTAGCGACGAAAATGAAGATTTGAAAAATCATTTTGAAGATATGATCACTCTCCATATAGCCTATCTAATAGTATTAAGAACCTAAGGTACATACCTTGTCAGTAATTTGTCTGCCTCTGAAATAAAAAAAGACAAATTAATTATAAGACGCTAATAAAATTTAGATGTACAATTTTAGTAAGTTATTAATTGTTTCTAGGCTAATAAGATGTTCATTTGAAACCATAACAAATTATTCTGGTTATCATACTCTAATTTTCACACGCGTAGTAAAGTTTATGTGATTATTTCACACCTCATTTATCCTATATAAAAATGAGAATCAACACGCCTAGAATATGTGTCATTATTGCACAGCCTAAAATGTAAAATAAAAATGTATATATATATATATATATATATATATATATATATATAATGCCACATTAGTCGCAATTATTTATAAATCTTAATTCATCCATAAAAGTCAAATAACTTTTTGACAAATATAAGGGGCGTTACTTCCTAAAATATATATTAATTTTTAATAATATTTTTTTCAGCTTTTGATCCAAAATTATGCCGAAGATGTTACACGTACTCACCTTTGCAACCACCTGACGAGGATTTGATTTCTTGATAAGGTAACCTTTTACTTTACCTCCCTCTCCCCCTTGTTACAGACAGTAGAGAATGAAGAGTACTATCGAATATTCTGTAATCGCTAATGCATTGACGTGGTCCATTCAAAGGACGATGTATTAATTATACTACTGCAAACTATATATTTTAAATGTTTAGTAAGAAAAATAAACTCATCGGTTTGAAGTTCTGTCATTGAACACATTCAGTTTACTACTTTTACTAAAACACAGTAAAAAGAGCTTTAAGTACTTCATGTTTGAAATACAAAATTACAGTTAACATTTAGAACTATTCATTATAAACAATTAAAGATTATTGTTAAATATCCAACATTTAGATATAATTTGTTTTAAATTAAACCGCATCCACAATCCATTTAAAATTTGGCTGAAATCATCTTATTAATGACTTCTTAATAAGACTTGATTTCCACAATTTGCTTGTAGTTTTTTTATTTAATTTTTATATTTTTTTACCTTACAAACTACATTTATTAAAATTAAAAGAACTTATTACTATGTAAAATGTATAAGGCGACGTTGTGGGATAAAAAATTTGAAACATGAGTATTTGTGGCCCAAGCCATATTTATCACTACAGAACCCTTGTAATCTATAATCCATACATCTAACGAAAGTGACGTCACTAAATTGATGACGTAACCACTATCAATCCTCGTCCCTTCAAGATATGTGGTTTGTCTCCGTTATTTGGTAGTTCGAGAAACTCTTCCTGATATAAGAATATGAAAAATCTAACATTTTAATACGTTAACATTTTACCGTGCAAAAAAGCATTGTATTATAAATGTACGTCTGCTTCAGCTAAGGCAAGTAAAATGTAACAACAAAATATATAAAATATAACCCTTCCAACATTAACTAACAATGCTGCAATAAAAAATCTGGAAAATAAACAAACTGTACGTTTACAAAATTTTACAAATGATTCATACCAATGTCTTTTAACATGAGAGCTGTCAATATCACAACCTGTGTACACATACAAATACTTTTGTAGCAATACAACATTATTAGTCAGTCCTAAATAAGATGATTTGATTAGGCAAAATATTTTTTTAAATAATTAAATTCATATTAAATCCTTAAATAATTAGTTTGATGGTAACATCAATAGGATAATAATTTGAAACCATAATGATCTGAAAAAGAGTTTCATCTCTAGTAACATCCATCGTAACCATATTTTTCAAACACTTAACAATTTTCGTTTCATTCAATTTTGATAACGAAGCTTAGTAGTGATGAAACTTCCATAGAGTTTCGTGAGGCACAATTATCGGAACTTTAGCTGCAGCTGTGGTTTATTTGCAGCTCTTGTCTTCTATTGTGACCAGAACTGAACAAAAACGGGCAATAAACTGCAGAACGAGTAGTCGGGGACACGCGGTGTGATAAAACATCTACTCGGACACTTTTATATCCTCCGACTGTACTTAGGGAGAAACTGATTGAGAGATGGAGAAGAGTGAGAACTGTCATTTATTAGATAATCTTATATATTCTAAGCTTTCAAATATAAAGTTCATCAAAAGAAAAGAATGAGTAGGTACCAAAAACATCAAATACGTTTTTATCATTGAAATTCTCCATCCCGTGGATGTGGAATGAATTCATCCCGATTGGTAATGTTCGGTAAACACTTGAAGAGAAACGTTCGTTTTATATTTTTTTATCTGAGCTTCAGCACCATGGTCACATGACTATATATGTAATAGAGTATACAGGGTGATCAACTCAAGGAGGCCACCATTGGGATATCGGAAACGGTAAGAATTAGAGAAAACTTTAAATGGGGGACATTCCTTTATTTTTTGTGGCAGTTAAAAATGTGATTTTAGTTTTTCAAAATTCAGCTGCCATTTTCCAAAATGGCGGCCAACATTGAAATTTCTAATGGAACACCCTGTATTTTATCATGTTTTCGGATAGAACGTGCAATTTAAAAACTTTTTTATTCTTGACATTTTTTCGATAAACCCACTCGTTTAGGTCGGTTACAGCCTATGGAAAAATGACTTCCGGTGTAAATTTTACATCATGTAGCTCCAAAAAAGTAGGTTTTAGCGAAAATGCGAAGAGTAAATAAGTCAAATAAGTCTTAAAATTGCATCCACATTCCAAAAAGTCCATAAAATTCGTTAAAAATATTAATTCTATTATTTAAAAATGGCGGCCATTTTCCAAAATGGCAGCAAACTTGAAAAGTGGAAAACTGTGTATTTTATGGTCTTAATGGAATGTGGATGCAATTTTAAGACTTATTTGACTTATTTACTCTTCGCATTTTCGCTATAAACCTACTTTTTTTGGAGCTACATGATGTAAAATGTACACCGGAAGTCATTTTTCCATAGGCTGTAACTCCTAAACGAGTGAGTTTATCGAAAAAATATCAAGTATACAAAAGTTTTTAAATTGCACGTTCTATCCGAAAACATGATAAAATACAGGGTGTTCCATTAGAAATTTCAAAGTTGGCCGCCATTTTGGAAAATGGCGGCTGAATTTTGAAAAACTAAAATCATATTTTAACTGCCACAAAAAATAAAGGAATGTCCCCCATTTAAAGTTTTCTCTAATTCTTACCGTTTCCGATATCCCAATGGTGGCCTCCTTGAGTTGATCACCCTGTATAATAGTGTAGCAAACGAATTAATTATTTGATTTCTGTCAACATGTAAAAACAATCATAAGGTAATTCCTACCTTTTTTGTTGTATTTTGAAGAAAAAATTTAGGATAAATGCTTTTAAGTGCAAATTAAATTATTGGTTTTATATAAAGCGTTATATGGCTTTATAATTTTATCAAAGGGTAATCTACATTTTATTTAATTACAGTTTTATTACTGTGTTCAGCTAAATTTATTTTATTCATAGAGTTGTATAAACTTTAAAAACCAAAATATACTTTGTGTGCTTCAGTTTACCAATCTTACAGTAGACATATGTTTATTGTAAATTTTGTAAAATAAGCATGACTTTACATTTATAGCATTTTTATTCGGTGACCAACAGACTGTGCTGAAGAGTACTCTTAAAGCTTAAGAGGAGTTGTAAATATTATTTGAATAATTCAACGGATGAATTTATCCCCGACTACCCAACGTGCTACCCAACGTAATGTGCATCTGACGCCTTCATTCTTTATTCATACATATGGTGAGAGAATACTGTATACTAAAATAGGATAATATTATACTTCATATGATATAAACCCTTGTTGAGGTTGCCAGGATCACCGTAATTACCAACACAATATAACTTAATTTACTTTGTCGTGTGTTCCGCTTTGGCTGTAGGTGACACTTAACCTACTTGTTCACTTAAAAAAGGGTGTTGGTAAATTATAGTCATCATTTGTTACAATAATAATAATTATAATAATAATATAATAGTTGGATGTGTTTGTTGTTTGTGATAATGTGACCGTACATTTTAATTTACATAAAAAATATCTGGAGTATAACAATATTATCAGAAAAAAAATATAATGAAAACCATGGTATTTCGGAAATATAATTACCGTTAACAACCTAACCCAATACTACTACGTACAAAAATTGGTCTAAGGGTCCTATCAATGCTTAGTGTCTCTAGTTTTAGCATCGATCAAACATAGCATTAGCATGTCGTCTTTATACAATTCTTACACTACGAAAAAAGTTTTCCTACTGAGGTGTTTAGTAACAATTCTGTACTAAAGACATAAAACCTTACTCTGAAAATGTTATGTAATCACTGTATGTTCCACTGTAAAAGGCTGTCATGCAGCTGTACCAGCTTTAAACCCTTCACACGAAAAGTTACCCTCAGTTCCACACGCTAACTGAGTTAGCTGCCTGACAACGCGAGATAAAACTAATCATGTGAATAAACTTGAGTTATAACACGTGTCGCAAGTCTTGTAAAATATTACATTTCGTGATTAGACCAAATTTAAATTACGTAGTACTTAAGAGCATTCCTATTACAAATAACAAAAAAATTTAAATATATTCGAGGGTATGATTGTGATTATTTCTTAAATTATCAACAGGTTTTTAAATGGTTTTACAATTTTAGACATCTTACAAGGAATCGTAATTTTTTCCTTATATTTACAAGTTATTGTGAAAGATAACTGGTCCTAAAACTGAATGTCCATCTATTAATAAATAAACTGTAATTGTAGCTGATTCATCCATAATGGTTGTGCATACGGTCTGTCAAACATTGTGGTATATTATTTGATATTGCTTAGGTATATATATTTAGGTAATAATAATTGAAAAATCTAATTTGCTTAGCACGAATATCATTTTGTAGCCTACTGAGTGTTTACTGCATGTTTCGTGCATTGTACACTTTGCAATTTTCAATGTGAAACCCAAAAAATTATTTCCCTTGAGTTATGTGTTTTAGTTTTGGGCTTTTACACGCTTTTCGGAATAATCTTATTTTTTACAAATTGTCCTATATTATTTTATAT